CATCAAGCATAGCATACATTTATCAGTATTGTACAAATTGTCCCTCCATCATCATCCAAATACAATGTTAGTCAGTTTTTTCATCATCAGAGTTAGCTGACCCAGTCGGCCTGAGGTCGGTCTCCTGGAATCTTTCAACAACATCAGCAGCTATCTTGTTGGCGGCATTTTTAGCTTCACTGATGAGATCAAGAGCAGCTTCTTCGCTTGTCCCATCTGCAAAACCGTCAACGGCTTCAATGTCTATCTTTGGGTACAAGGATTTGGTCATCGCAAGCGCCAGGCCTGCTCCCATATTTCTAGCCTCCTTGATATTCTTAAAATATGTATCCGGAGCAATTCTCAGCTTGTCGAAGATTTCGTCAGCATCAAATGAACTCGGACCATTGTTATTGAAGAACATGGCTTGGACGAGTGGTGTAGCGGCGTTGGCGACCTCATCTCTAGCTCCTTCAAGACTCTTGATTTTGTTAACCAAGACGTCGAATTGAGCTTGGGATTTGATTTTGTGATCTGCACATATATATTTGCGTCAGCGAGTAAGTATGAAGATAAGAATATTTTTCGGTGATTCGGCCATGGGTACCTTCAACGTCCTTCAGGGCCGAGTCCCTTTGCTTCGTCAGTTCAGCCTTGTCTTTTTCTAGAGCTTTAACTCGCCTTTCCAGCTCGGAGATCTTGGCAGTTTATGCTATATTGTTCCCTCTTGGTCAGTCGCACATGAATTCGCACATGAAGCGAGTCAAGCAATGAGAAGAGTTACCTTTTGATGAACCGCTCAGCTCAAAGTTGGAATCTTAGAGCTCGTCGATCTGGTCTCTCAGGTCGTGCTCAGTTTTCTTGGCAAGCTCCTTGGCCTCATGTAGCTGATCTCTGGTAGCTTCCAGAGTTCCAAGATTGGGAACTAATTTCTCAAGGGTTGTGGTCTTTGCCTCATTCCTGAGGTGGATTCTCTGCAATACGAAAGTATCCTTATTCAGCAAGGTGGGCGACAGGATGATAGAAGGCATGTATGAGAAGACTTACATTTACAAGACGAGTGGCTTGGCCGAGAGCCTTTTTCAACATATATAACTCCTCGTCTTCTTTTTGCTTGTTGATCACAATCCATTGAGGCTGCATATCGTCATCCCACCATTTGACCAATATAGGTGGGCGAGAATCCTCAGCTGACTGAATCTGGAGGACCTCTTCTTCGTCACCAATAATTGGGCCTTATATATTCATGGACGATGATTAGATGGATGAAGAAGGTTTATTAGATCAAGATGGATTCGGAGGAATAGCTTACCTGTTATTATTTCTGGGTGGGGACGAGAGGGTCCTTGCACTTTAACGGGAGACATAGATCCCGGGTCAGCGTTGGCATCTTTCTTAGGAGGGCTGCCGGCTTGGGCCTCTGCCTCCGGGATATCTTCGTCTTGAGTTGTGCCCAACTGGTTCCTAGTCGGCAGCTCCTGTTCAGCATTAACGTTAGCTTCGGCTGACTGGTTTCCAGTCGGGGTCTCGTTGCTAGCTTGCGTATTGACAGATGCTGGTTGGTCTTTACTCGGGCGATCTCTGGCAGTCGGCCCGGTCCCCACTGAGGGGTTAGTCTTCGTGCCAGTCGGCGTGGAGTCTTTTCTAGAAGGATCTATGTCATATGGCTTTCTGCAAATTCGATATATGTTCTCAGCTCTGCTACAATGAAGAATGACGGATGACACAGAGGCAGTTGTTATATGACACATACCTGGATGACTTCCTTATTTTTGGCATTGGACGACTGGATGTTTTCTTCCTTAAGTTGGCTTGCTTTGGCTGTCTCTCGGCTCCTTCCTTTTTGTTGCCGGGCTTTTTGGTGTCATGACCCTCATCGTCGGTCAGCACCGATTTCCTCTTCCGAGAGTCTAACTGAGTGGTTGACCTTGTGGGGTTGGGTTGCACATCCGACCGAATTTTTGGCCCCCCACTAGCTTGCCCGGTCGGTTGACGGGATGAGCGGCGTTGAGCGATTGGAGGGTCTGACTTCATCAAGGCAAATTCCTGGGCGTAACAATTCAAGTTTTTCAGCCAACTTTGTAGATGATGAAAGCGTGCTTTTTGAGAAAGGTTGAGATATTAAATACGTACCGGTGGAGGGGGATTGAAGGCATTGTACGGCACCACTGGTAGCAAGTGCGAATAGCTGACTACGATTGCGTTCGAGAAGATTTTATACATTCTTTCCTTCATAACCTTGAATTCAAGAGATTCAGGATCTTCACGGTTGGGGTCATGCTTGCCGTCGAATTCAAAGGCCGTGCGAGATCTTTCCTTGATTGGGGCTAGTTGGCTCTTGATAAAATGCCGAGTAATCTGTTCCCCTTGCAGGCCCTGTTCTTTCAGATTCAGCATACGATCCATCAGAGCAAGTGCTTGAGCAGCTTCCTCTCCTATTGGAAGAGAGTTCCAAGTATCTTGGTACACTGGAGGAAGGCAGGAGTACTCGGGAAGAGCTGGTTCGGGATTTTGCACATAAAACTAATTTGCGTGCCAACCCTTATTCGAGGTTTTGAAAGGCATGGAGAAATATTTTTGGCTCAAGGTCCCTCTCAGTTGAAATCCAGCTCCCCCAACTACGCATGGTTTGCTCTTGTTTGGCTAGGGTTTGAGGAAGAAGATGCAACGGAACAAGGCGAAATGCGGTCTTATACCCAGGAAAGCCTCGCAAGCATGAATGAAGTTGGCAATGTGAACTATAGAGTTGGGGTTTAGATGGTGCAATCTGATCCCATAAAACTCTAATATTCCCCGGAAGAATCTTGAGGTTGGAAGAGAAAATCCACCATAGAAGAAATGAGAAAATACCACGACTTCATGTGTATCGGGGGTCGGGAATGCTTCGCCGAATGCTGGACGCCATCCAATGATCTCTTTCGCTGGAAGAACGTCATGCGCCACCATCTCTTTCAGGTTCTCCTCTGTTACATCGGAGGGCACCCACTGACTCTCGAAGCTTTCTCTCTCTTCCACCATGAATATGAACCGGATGGTGTGATTTGGTATGAGATATGGTTGGAAATGGATGGGGGATCGATGCGGTGGCTGTGCGGAAGATTTTTGCGGAGTTTTGGAGGACGGATTGGAGCAAATCGGTGAACCCTAACTTTGCCGGCGCAGTCTTGCACTGTAGCAGGAAATGGGGAAAGTGGCAAGAGTCTCGGCGGGGAAGACGAAGAGACGTTTCGTTTCTCTTTGATGTTATTAGGGTATCGGGAGTACTAATGGGCCTGGGCCTAAAACAGTACTTCAGCCCAATTCTGCTACCGACGTGGCTAAGTGGTGCTCTGTAGTGACTTAGGCATTTTTGCTTCGGCAATTTTTGCTCACCGCGATATGGCCCAATGCTGATAAAATCCTTTTTGACGCGGTTAGATAATTCCTTGGAATTACTACGATGCAAACAAAAAGGTACCTGACAGAAAAGTGTTATACTATTTTTTAAGCCTTTTTAGGCTGCAAAAGCTGTTTGGGTTGGTTTGAGATGACTAGTTTTTAATGGTCATTCTCTTGGCATGTTATATGCTTATTTTTTATTATGGTGACGATCATAGCCTAGGCTATTTAGACTCATTAATTGCCATGACTTTTATCATATTTGGTGGATCATCTTAAGAGTTTTTACTCGGATTCTTATCAAATATGCTCATTTTATGGACCTTTTTGAGTGTTTTTCACTCGGATTTCTTTATGTCTTTTTGGTATATTAAAGCTAAAGCAGTCGACTGGATGTTTTATTAAACATCGCATCTGCTCGGCTATATAACCACTCGGATTGGATGATATTTTGCACTTTGACTATATGTTTAGTTTTAAACTAATCACATAGTCGGGGGCTACACCTAATTAGGTGCATCTAACCGATGCACCTAACTTTTTTATTTTTCCGCCCTTCACAGTCTTTGATTTTAGTACTCGGGAGGCCAGAGTAGAAGGAGTTGAATCACTCGGATTATCGTTTTGGATTGCGAGAGAAGACTATTTTGTCGACTGTAAAGGTCTCGGGGGCTACTGTGGAGATTATGGATACCCCATACCTCTATGGCATGTATAGTCCGACTAGGTATGGGGTGCCATGTATAGATAGAATATCTTTAAAGAGGCTCGGGTTAAATTCTAAACTTGTATGATAAGGAAGTACCCGGGATTCTAGTCGGTTACGATTAGATTATATATGTAACTACATATTCCGTTAGGGATATGGTTTGTATTTTGTAATACGGACTCCTTCCCCTATATAAGGAGGGGTCTGGGTGCCTCTAGGGGTACGATTTTTAGCTCCCAGATCATACGATCAATAATACACTCGGTGGGTCAATCCCCGGACAGGAGTAGGGTATTACTTCTTGAATAAGAAGGCCTGAACCTGTATAAAATCCCTTGTCTCTTAACCCATCCACTTTTCCAGCTTGATAGCCACCCCCTTTTAGTATTGCTGAAATCTTGTTTCGACAGGTGGTGTTTTGCTACAAGAAGGAAAACCTGTTACATATTTTAGTGAAAAATTGAGTGGGCCTGTGCTGAATTACTCTACTTATGATAAGGAATTGTATGCTCTTGTACGCACTTTAGAAACATGGCAGCATTATTTGTGGCCCAAGGAATTTGTCATACATTCTGATCATGAGTTTTTGAAGCATATTCGCAGTCTAGGAAAACTGAACCGTAGACATGCTAAATGGGTTGAATTTATTGAATGTTTTCCTTATGTTATTAAACACAAGAAAGGGAAGGAAAATGTCATTGCTGATGCATTGTCTAGGAGATATACTTTATTAACACAACTTGACTACAAAATTTTTGGCCTAGAAACGATTAAAGACCAATATGTGCGTGATGATGATTTTAAAGATGTGTTGCTGCATTATAAGGATGGAAAGACATGGAACAAATTCTTCTTGAATGATGGGTTTGTTTTTAGAGCTAATAAGTTATGCATTACAGCTAGCTCTATTCGCTTGTTGTTATTGCAGGAAGCGCATGGAGGTGCTTTGATGGGGCATTTTGGTGCCAAGAAGATGGTGGACATCCTTGCTGGTCATTTCTTTTGGCTAAAGATGAGACAAGATGTAGATCGATTCGTTGCTCGCTGCGCTACATGTCAAAAGGCTAAGTCACGTTTAAATCCACATGGTTTGTATATGCCTCTCCTTGTTCCTACTGTTCCTTGGGAAGATATTTCAATAGATTTTGTGTTAGGATTACCTAGGACCAAGAGGGGGCGTGATAGCATTTTTGTGGTTGTGGATAGATTTTCTAAAATGGCACTGACGGAGCGTGGGGCTCCTCACCGGGAGACCGCGCAGGCCCCCCTTTGCCGGTTCGGCCGGGGACCCTAGGTGAGATTCTAAGCTCCCAATTTGTATATGGAAGGCTCGCGAGACAGGAAGCACAGAAGACGCCGGCGATGTATACAGGTTCGGGCCGCTTAGAAGCGTAATACCCTACTCCTGTGTTTTGGTGGATTCGTGTGTGAAGGAGCTACAAAGTATCAGCCAGCCTCTCCTTTGTTCTGGGTTTCTAATCTGGAAAAATCCAGTCCAGTCAAAAGAATCTCCCTTCTCTCAGTGGGCAAGGTCCTCCTTTTATATCTTAAGGGGATACCACATGCACCATCCCCCCCTCTCTGTGGGGACTTACCCTACCTTTTCATAAATGGACGGAGATTTGCATGGTTGCCGTTCGAGTCACCCTCTGATGGGACGGCCCGCACCTACCTCCACTTTCGCCGGGAGCAGGCGCGACGCGGAATCATGGCTGTCTGCTGACGACATGACCGGTGTCAGACTGGTCACAAATCGGTCATTCTTGTCCACCACGCGTCAGCTTAGCAATCTGCACGTTGGCCCTTCTTCACACAACATTTTGCCTGTAATGGTTAGGATGAAGCCTGGCATATATCTGACCAGGACTAACGTGCCATCTCTGGGAGGTAACACGCTAGCTCTAGCTGGGGACGAGTGCCTAGAAGCCCTCGTCCTGACGGGATGGGGCGAGGCGTGCGTCAGATCGCCTGTCGCCACCTAATCCGCGATCTGACCGGTCTGTGACTGGTCACAGACCGGATAAATGAGTGCACTGCACCGCGTTACATGCGGCGTGACACGCTCAGCCAAACCGCAATAAATGTGGTTAGGTGAGCCCCACTGTGCCCACCTAACCCATACACGCGGAGCGAAAACCCACGAGGGGTCGGGGCGCCTCGGCCCTCGGGGCCGAGGCGGGTGCGGCTCGACCCCCTCGGGGGGACTAAGAGGAGGGCGAACACATCACCCTCGGGCCCGACGTCCCCTGAGGGTGCCAGGCCACGTGGGCGATTGTGTCTGCCTCAAACCTCTAGTCATGATACTCCCGATCCCATGTCACCGACAGTAGCCCCCGGCGTTATGCCAGGGCGATCGCCCTCCTTAAGGGAAGCGGTCGGGCGTGACGCCACTCCTAAGGCCTGGTGACAGGTGGGACCGGTCTCCACAATTGGGCAGAAACCCAACGGTCACAAATCACGCACATCGACAGTGGTAACTCGGCTGTCAATAATGAGCGGTCTCTTCAAGACTGCCACATTACTCGAGTAGCACACGAATCTGGACATGGCGATTCGTTTCATCTGGAGATATGGTAACGTCGCTTCGGTCGGCGAGCGTAATTAACGCGCGCACGATATGATTTATCTCGACCGCCACAACCGCATATCCACCTCATGCACTGCAAGCGGGCGAATGGGATTAGTGGAAGCGTGGGCGCGAGAAACGAGGGGGCGAAATAGTGGGCGCGAGAAGCGAGGAGCCGGGCACAGCGTTGGCAAGAGTATAAAGGCACTGAGGAAGGGATTTGTTTCCTTCCTTTCGCCATTATTCCCCTTGTCTTCGCCGCTTGCGCCCTAACTCCTTCTTTCCTGTGCCCTACCTTCGCCACACGCGCTCGCTCTTAATCTTCTCTTCCTTCCGGCGCCATGGCACGGGGCTCCGCTCTGCTCGATGGTAGCGTGCTGCCGCCCTCCCGCATCGTGAGCGAGAGGCAGGCTGGGCTGCCGCGCCACTTCATGCCGGAATCTGCCACCGGCCGGGAGATAGTCACGCTGGGCGAGGGACGCCCGGCGCCAGACTACCCGGGGCGGTCCGTCTTCTTTCTCCCCTTTGCAATGGCAGGGCTGGTTCCGCCATTTTCTTCTTTCTTCATGGATGTTCTGGAGTTCTACGATCTCCAGATGGCGCACCTCACCCCCAACGCGGTGATGACATTGGCCATCTTCGCGCATCTGTGCGAGATGTTCATTGGGGTGCGCCCATCTCTCCGGCTGTTCCGGTGGTTCTTCACCGTGCAGTCAGTGTCGCCGCCATCGGTAGTTGGTGGCTGCTACTTCCAGCCACGGGGGCCGGTGCCGAACCGCTACATCCCCTGCGCCCTCCGCAAGAAGTGGGACGACTGGAAGAGCGACTGGTTCTACACCCCCCTTGCCGACGAAGCGCGCCTCCGACTTCCGAGCCAGCCCCCGGCTCAGGCCTCCAGCTGGCGGGCGCCGGTAGATCTGGGGGATGGCTATGACGCCGTCCTCGACCGCCTGGCGGGCCTGCGATCCCAGGGGCTCACAGGGGCCATGGTGTACGGCGACTACCTCCGTCGTCGGATTGCGCCGCTCCAGCGGCGCGCTCGGGGCGCCTGGGAGTACACCGGGTCCGAAGACTTCATGAGGACTCACCAGGGAGTGAGATGGGACTGGGCCCCTGAGGACTTCAAGATATTGGTCCAACGGGTGCTGAATCTCAACTCCGTGGAGGCGGCCCTCATTCCCCAAGGAATCCTCCCCCTCTGCAGCGATCCAGACCGCGCCTCCATCCTGACCATTATGATGGCGGTCGGGGCCTCAGAGGAGCGAGCTCCAAAGGGCCACGACGGCGCAGGCGGGAGCCGCTGGGGGGAACAATCTACCCCGAGAGGGGGTCGTGCTTCTGGGTCCCGCGACAGGGGCCCGGGGAGCAGCCGCCCTGCCGACGCCCGGGGGAAGAGGAAGCAGGGAGGAACACCTCCCCCATCTCCTCCCCGAGGGGGCGGGGCGGCGCGTACCAGCAGCAGGCGCCCGGAGGGGGCCGCGCCAACATCGCAGCCCGAGGGGGAGCGCAAGAAGAAGCGGCCCCGCAAGATGGGGGAGACAGAACCATCTCGGGGAAACCTCATTTCCCCTCCAAAGTGGTCGTTTAACCGACCCCCTCGCAGGTTCGTCTCTCACCCATCGTGGCTGTATTCATTCTCTCAACGCTAGTTTTCACTCACCCATCTCGTTCGTCTTCTGGTCATTTCTTTTGTTTCAGCGAGATCCCGTCGCGTCCCTCCCGCCATTCCAAGTCCGGCCAGCCTGAGGCCGAGGATCCGGCGGCCGCAGAGGCCCGGAGGCGGGAATCTGACCAGCGAGAGGCCGCGGATCGCCTACGGGAAGCCGAGGAGGCCGTCCAGGAGGCCGCCCGGGCTCGCCAGGCCGAGGAAACCGCTCGGGAGGGAGCCGCCCGGGCCCGCCAGGCCGAGGAAGCTGCTCGGGAGGAGGCCGCCCGAGCCCACCAGGCCGAGGAAGCCGCTCGGGAGGAGGCTGTCCGAGCCCACAAGGCCGAGGAAGCCGCTCGGGAGGAGGCTGTCCGAGCCCACAAGGCCGAGGAAGCCGCTCGGTAGGAAGCCGGATTTCGCCAGGACGAGGCGATGGCGACTTCCGAGGCAGCTCGCGACGAGGCCGCGGGCGCGTCGCTCGGGCCCACTCCCTCGCACGACGCTCAGGCGACAACTTCCGGGGTAGCTGGCGACGAGGCTGCGGGCGCGTCGCTTGGGCCCACTCCCTCAGGCGACGCTCAGGCCCAACCAGGTCCGGAGGACATCCCCGCGTCTGGCACGTCCATCGGTGGGCCGAGCCGCGTGGCATCTTCTCCGAGGCGGCTTTTCCCCACGCCTTCTACTGCCCTACTGAGCGCAGAGCCCCTTCTGCAAGCCTTGGCCGCCGCAAACACCACGGTGTTGGACGGGTTAAGTGCCCAGGTGGAGGCCCTGCAGGCAGAGCGGGCGGAGCTCGACGCCGCGTGGGCGCGTGTCGAAGAGGGGCGACGCTCGGTGGAGGCCATGGTGGAGGTGGGCCGTAAGGCTCACCGCCGGCACGTCTCGGAGCTTGAAACCCGTAAGAAGGTGCTGGCGGAGATCGCCAAGGAAGTGGAAGAGGAGCGGGGGGCTGCCCTCATTGCCACCACCGTGATGAACGAGGCGTAGGACACCCTCCGCCTTCAATACGGGAGCTGGGAGGCGGAGCTAAGGAAGAAGCTCGACGCCGCCCAGGGAGTGCTTGACGCTGCCGCTGCCCGAGAACAGCGGGCGGCGGAGACCGAAGCGGCGTCCCGGCAGCTGAAGAGGCCCTTGAGGCGCGCGCCATGGCACTGGAAGAGCGCGCCTGCGTCGTGGAGAGGGATCTGGCGGACCGCGAGGCCGCCGTCACCATCCGGGAAGCAACGCTGGCGGCGCACGAGGCTGCCTGCGCCGAAGAAGAGCTCGCGCTCCGCCTCCGCGAGGACGCGCTCACCGAGCGGGAGCGAGCTCTCGAGGGGGCCGAGGCCGCGGCCCAACAGCTGGCGGACAGCCTGTCCCTCCGCGAGGCAGCGCAGGAGGAGCAAGCGCGCCGTAATCTGGAAGGTGCCCGCGTCGAGAGGGCCGCACTGAACCAACGGGCCGCTGAGCTCGAGGCGCGGGCGAAGGAGCTGGACGCGAGGGTGCGCAGCGGCGGGGCGGCCGCGGGCGAAAGCGACCTAGCCGCCCGCCTCGCAGCTGCCGAACACACCATCGCCGATCTGCAGGGCGCGCTGGACTCGTCCGCCGGGGAGGTCGAAGCCCTCCGCTTGGCAGGCGAGGTTGGGCCCGGCATGCTTTGGGACGCCGTCTCCCGCCTAGATTGCGCCGGTCGGCAAGTGGGCCTCTGGAGAGGGCGGACCGTAAAGTACGCCGCCAACCAGGGAGGTCTCGCCCAGCGCCTCTCGAAGATGGCCGGGGCTCTCCAACGGCTCCCCGAGGAGCTCGAGAAGACAATTAAGTCATCCTCGAGGGACCTCGCCCAAGGAGCGGTGGAGCTCGTCCTGGCGAGTTACCAGGCCAGGGACCCCAATTTCTCTCCATGGATGGCGCTGGAAGAGTTCCCTCCTGGGACCGAGGACCGCGCGCGCGCGCAAGTCCGGGATGCCGCCGACCATATCGTCGACAGCTTCGAGGGCTCGGCCCCTCGGCTCGCGTTCGCCCCCAACTCCGACGAGGAGGGCAATGCCGGTGGTGCAGACAACAGTGACGACGAGGCCGGCGACCCGGGCGCATCGGATTGAGCCCCCAGACCCCCGCCATTCTTCAGTTTTTTCTTCTTTTCTTTCTTCAAAGGCCTTCGGGCCTCTTTTTTGTATAGATCAACTTAATCTGTAATCAAAAATGAAGAAATTTTTGTGTCAATTTCATCTTGCTGTATGTATGAGATGAGGATGATCTGTACCGTGGTCCTTTTGTGTCTTAGCTTGATTAAGGGTTCGTGCCCAGGTCCCAGTCCTCAAAAGGCGCGGGTCGGGGCTAGTGCCTGGGGAGATCCACATGTCGAGACTGGCCAGGCCGGGAACGTGGTGACCGAGGGTTATGGGTGACCCGATTGTGGGTTTTTGCCGATTCCCCCCCGGAGTTCACCACGCCCCAGGGCACGGCTCGGTTCTGGGCCCCGTTTGGCGAATTTAGCCGACCCAAGCCCCCGAGGGCAGGATTGAGCACGAGTGACCTATTTCAAGTCAAGATTCTTCAAAAGGAAAAAACAGCACAGATACAGCCTTTAGGAAATTGAAACTGCTTTTATTGAAATACAGATGTAAGAGAAATAAGAATATGCATATGTGGTAGCCCCCGGCCAACCCTGCACGCCCGAGGGGGGTGCGGGGTTGGCCCGAGCCCGAAACCTGACACCCGATCCCCCTTTAGGGGTAGAAGCGACGAAGGTGTTCGATGTTCCACGGGTTAGGCAACTCTGTGCCGTCGCCCGTGGCCAGCCGAACGGAGCCCGGCCGGGGGACGCCGATCACTCGATACGGACCCTCCCACATTGGTGAGAGCTTGCTCAATCCAGCACGCGTTTGAACGCGGCGTAGGACGAGGTCGTCGACGCAGAGTGATCGGGCCCGGACGTGGCGCTGATGGTAGCGCCGCAGGCTCTGCTGGTAGCCGGTGGTGCAGACAATAAGAATAGCTTCCACTATTTCTCTGTTCGTCAAACGACCAGAAGACGAACGAGATGGGTGAGTGAAAACTCGCGTTGAGAGAATGAATACAGCCACGATGGGTGAGAGACGAACCTGCGAGGGGGTCGGTTAAACGATCACTTTGGAGGGGAAATGAGGTTTCCCCGAGATGGTTCTGTCTCCCCCATCTTGCGGGGCCGCTTCTTCTTGCGCTCCCCCTCGGGCTGCGATGTTGGCGCGGCCCCCTCCGGGCGCCTGCTGCTGGTACGCGCCGCCCAGATGACGGAGCGTGGGGCTCCTCACCGGGAGACCGCGCAGGCCCCCCTTTGCCGGTTCGGCCGGGGACCCTAGGTGAGATTCTAAGCTCCCAATCTGTATGTGGAAGGCTCGCGAGACAGGAAGCACAGAAGACGCCGGCGATGTATACAGGTTCGGGCCGCTTAGAAGCGTAATACCCTACTCCTGTGTTTTGGTGGATTCGTGTGTGAAGGAGCTACAAAGTATCAGCCAGCCTCTCCCTTGTTCTGGGTTTCTAATCTGGAAAAATCCAGTCCAGTCAAAAGAATCTCCCTTCTCTCAGTGGGCAAGGTCCTCCTTTTATATCTTAAGGGGATACCACATGCACCATCCCCCCCTCTCTGTGGGGACTTACCCTACCTTTTCATAAATGGACGGAGATTTGCATGGTTGCCGTTCGAGTCACCCTCTGATGGGACGGCCCGCACCTACCTCCACTTTCGCCGGGAGCAGGCGCGACGCGGAATCATGGCTGTCTGCTGACGACATGACCGGTGTCAGGCTGGTCACAAATCGGTCATTCTTGTCCACCACGCGTCAGCTTAGCAATCTGCACGTTGGCCCTTCTTCACACAACATTTTGCCTGTAATGGTTAGGATGAAGCCTGGCATATATCTGACCAGGACTAACGTGCCATCTCTGGGAGGTAACACGCTAGCTCTAGCTGGGGACGAGTGCCTAGAAGCCCTCGTCCTGACGGGATGGGGCGAGGCGTGCATCAGATCGCCTGTCGCCACCTAATCCGCGATCTGACCGGTCTGTGACTGGTCACAGACCGGATAAATGAGTGCACTGCACCGCGTTACATGCGGCGTGACACGCTCAGCCAAACCGCAATAAATGTGGTTAGGTGAGCCCCACTGTGCCCACCTAACCCATACACGCGGAGCGAAAACCCACGAGGGGTCGGGGCGCCTCGGCCCTCGGGGCCGAGGCAGGTGCGGCTCGACCCCCTCGGGGGGACTAAGAGGAGGGCGAACACATCACCCTCGGGCCCGACGTCCCCCGAGGGTGCCAGGCCACGTGGGCGATTGTGTCTGCCTCAAACCTCTAGTCATGATACTCCCGATCCCATGTCACCGACAGGCACATTTCATACCATGTCATAAAACTGATGATGCTTCTCATATCGCTGATCTGTTCTTTCGAGAAATTGTATGCTTGCATGGTGTGCCAAACACAATTGTTTCTGATCGTGACACGGAATTTCTTAGCCATTTTTGGAGAACTTTGTGGACTAAATTGGGGACTAAGCTTTTTTTTTCTACTACTTGTTATCCCTAAACTGATGGACAAACTGAAGTGGTGAATAGAACCTTGTCTACTATGCTTAGGGTTGTTTTGAAGAAAAATATCAAGATGTGAAAAGAATGCTTGCCTCATATTGAATTTGCCTATAATCGTTCCTTGCATTCTACTACAAAGATGTGCCCATTTCAGATTGTGTATGGGTTGTTGCCTCGTGCTCCTATTGATTTGATGCCTTTGCCATCTTCTGAAAAACTAAATTTTGATGCTAAGCAACATGTTGAGTTGATGTTAAAACTGCATGAGACAACTAAAGAAAACATCGAGCACATGAATGCTAAGTATAAGTTTGCTAGTGACAAAGGTAGAAGGGAATTGAATTTTGAACCTGGAGATTTGGTTTGGTTGCATTTGCGAAAAGAACGGTTTCCTGACTTGCGAAAATCGAAATTGATGCCCAGAGCTGATGGTCCATTTAAAGTGTTAGCCAAAATTAATGAGAATGCATATAAGCTTGATTTGCCTGCAGATTATAAGGTTAGTCTCACATTTAACGTTGCAGATTTGAAGTCATATTTGGGCAAAGAAGATTAACTTGAGTCGAGGACGACTCAAATGCAAGAAAGGGAGGATGATGAGGACATCAACACCAACGATACATCCAGGCCTCCACAAGTACAACTTCATGGTCCTATTACCCGTGCTCGTGTATGTCAACTCAACTATCAAGTGTGTTCATTCTTAAATTCATATGATTCTTATTTATACCCCAGAGACACGTGCACTCTTGTTTTACTCAGGAACAACGGAGAGATCAAACGGGGAAAGCATTCGTGCATGATGGATTCGGACTGCAGCACAACACCAACTTCTGATGGCCGCCACGACTTCATGCGAACTCCGATTTGGCGTGCAAGTACTTCATGGAAAGCTTGTCAAGTCTACTTTCAAATGGATCCAGCCTCATATCCATATCAGTTCTGGAGCGGCCGCAATCTTCGTTTTACTACTGAGTCCTTTTCTGTCCACGGTGCTGGGTCACCTCTTTGGGCCTATTGGGCTGTGTATCAAGTGTGGTCCATTAGGGACGCGTCCTAGGGTTAGAGAACGACCCCAGTACCCCTGTGGTCGTCCTCTTCCTCTTTTTATAGCTTTCTCCACCGCCAAGAATAATTGGGTTTTGTTTAGATCAAAGTATAGCGTCGTTACTTCGCCGAGTTGATCCCGTGATCGATTGGATCATCGGATTGCATGTTAGTACTGAACCCCACTTGTTACTTCTATTGATTCAATCAACATATTTGATTCACAAATTTAGTTGCTTGTTCATCTTGTTCTTGCTGGTTCTCGATTGCTCGCAGGAACAAATACCCTCGTGGTTGGGCTGATCGTGCATCCGTCGAGATTCACGACCACCTCTGGAGTTGGTGTAACGATTGCTAAGGCGCAACATCTCTGGATAGTTGTAGTCGGATCGCCAACGTCACTCCATCCAATCGACTTATCCCTCTCATCGAAAGACTGGGACACCCTCGAGCACATCAAATACAGAAATAGTCATATAATAAATCACTTTACAAAAATCTTGCATGCTAACTTGAGATGATCAGATTCCTAATTGCAGCTCATGGTTTTATTTTAGAAAAATATATATCCAAGCGAATTCTTATCATGAAATTATTATTAAAATTGAAGATGTTTTTGCCGGTTACTTACAAAATAAAAAAAAAAAGAAATCTTAGCGTCCCGTCACGGCGTCACCTCTGCATGCGTAAAAAAAAGAAATAAACTCCCGTCGCGTGTGAAAAAAAAAAAACCTCTCCCGTCTCGTCTGCGCTCCTTCGCCTGCGCCGATCTCCATCTCGCGTGCAGAGCAGGGGTGCCGTCGTCCTGCTGCATCCTGGTGAGCATCCACGTCCTCTTTCTCATTCATCTTACTCTCCCCCCACTTTTGTCTCGAGTTTTCTTGTGTTAACCCTAGGCTTGTCTTCTGGATCTGGAAGAAGCTTTTCTGTTAATTTGAGAGCCTCAAACCTTAATACAAGTAACAGTTTGTTTTTTCCCCAAAAAAGTTTGGGGGTTCAAATGAATCGAATGCCCATGTCCCAAGTTGGATCCGCCCCTGCTCTGTGCATTGGTTTGGGATCTAGGGCTTCGTTGTGGAAAGGGAAAATGTAATGGTTTCGAATGCGGTGATGGATGTATGGTGTCGTCTGTTAGTGCTAATTTAACGGAATTCGTTCTTGTCTGGTGCTTTTTACTAATGAAAAGTATATGGGTATGTGTTGTAGCTGTAGCCGTGCATTTTGTTCATAGATATGCTTTTGTTCTTTGTTGTTTATTTTAGCCACTTACCAGTACTGTAGTCTGAGCTGGTAACGGTGGTTCTAATGCAGTAATATTTTGTTGTAATCTGTTAGAACAGTGGAAAGTTTTGTGGATTCTAGCATGAGTTTGGGCTGTACTTGATTAGAGCTCTTCTAGGATGCTTTGGGTTCTGGATTTTTTTTCCTTTTTTTTGTTTGGTGGTGGGGGTGATCCGTCGAGAGAATTCCGCTTGCGCTAAGTGGATGCTTTTCAAGCTTAGGCGCAAGGCATTATGGTCCAGCGTTGGGCAGAGGGAAGAGAACTCAAGGGAAAAAAGATGAGAAAGTCACCTGGGGAAGCTTGGTATAAATTAATACTTTATAGAAATGGCGCATTAGTGAATGTTCTTGCAGCTTGGTGCTTTTCAGGATATAGGGACATTTTTGAATGTTCTTTTGGTGTCTTGTGCAGTTGTGCCTAACACGACTTTAGGACCATGCACCTCAAGTGTGGTGTGTTAGGCAGTTCAAGGCGGAGCTAGCCAGGCCTGGGCAGGGTTCATCAGCATGGTGGGCTGTGAACATGCTGACGGTCCTGGGATGGAGGTAGTATGGCCTGAGTGGTGGGAAGCATTGGAGAGAAGGAATAGTGAGTGTGAGTTTTTTGTTTTAGGTGGGGGAAGGGGGTTGCGGGAGGGGGGAATGGGACTTAAGAAAATACAGGGCATCGAGGCCTTGAGGAAGACAAACAATACTGGGTTCTTATGTTGGCTTGATGTTTCTTGGTCACATTTAAACCAACTTGAGGATGTCAGTCCTTAATCCTTATAGGCCGCAGCCCGCAGGTTTAGCCTGTGCGCTAGCCTCCCGCCCCCTACGCCTCTGGGCCTGGCAAGGATAATAGATATTCTGGGTGGATCAAGGAATTTTAGTATCATTTATGCTGATTTGTTGGTTTCAGTCATGTAAGTGTAAATCTGGTTCACGACATTGTGTCGAGTCTTTTTATTTTTGCAGGGAAATCAATATAGAATTTAGACATATGGAATGGCAGTGTCATTGCTAATGTGGTAATGTCTCACGACCCTATGGTGTAAGAAAACCATTGAAGTTAATTTGCACTAATTTTTAGGTTCTGAGCATATATAGTTTTTGTATTATCTCTATTGAATTAGGAAAGCCGGCTTCTGTGGTTAATACACACATGTTTGTGCTTTCTTTTCCTGTAACATGAGTTCTAATAAAGAATATGTTGATATTTTTTGTTGTTATTTCCTTGTCATAGTAATACACTTAGTAGAAAAATCTGATAGTTCAGTGTGTCCTGTGTGACACATCTCGAGGTCTCATTAAATTATACATATATGGTACACAGGCAAGTTTTTCATCATAATGTATGTGCTTGCTATCATGCAATTCTATAGTTTCTATATTTAAGAAAGCACATGTACTTGTACTATAATCGCTAGACTTGTTTTTTTCCATTCATTTTTACTTCATTTTCTTTATCCTTTCTTTGGTTTTTACATGATGTACCACAGTTTTGTGCACCTTAGCATTCTGTTACCTTTTGGATGTGCCCAGCGCTTATTTCTTGAGTAACCAACTATGCGTGTATTGGAAGAAAGGTAGGTTGTGCTGCTGGTACTATTATTCAAGGTTATATGAATAGCGGATAGAGACTATTACCATGTGAGCTGACTTATTGGCACTTAAATTACCTTTAGGTTTTTAGTGACTTGTCACTTTTATAATTGAGTAAAGTATACGGGTGGTCCTTAAACTTGTAGGGGTATGTCATCTAGGTCCCTAAACTCTCAAAATGCATATCCAAGTCCCAGAAGTTGTCATAGTGTGTCATTTAGGTCCCAAATCGCCACAACCCCTACGGGATCCTACGTGGCGTTGATGTGGCATGCCACACGGACATGGCGTGGCATCATTTTGACTAACAAATGGGACCCATTTAAAATTTTTCCTTTTTCTTTTTTTCTTCTCTTTTTTTCCCTTTCTTCTCCTTTCTCTGTAACCCGAGCCGAAGAATGGAAAAAAAGAAGAATGAGAAGAAAACTAAAAAGAAAAAGAAAAGGAAGAAAAAAAGAAGAAAAAGACAAGTCACGTCCATGTGGCATGCCACATCAGCGCCACGTAGGATCCTAGAGGGGATGTGTCGATTTGGGACCTAGATGATACACTTTGACAAGTTCTGTGACCTGGATATGCATTTTGAGAGTTTAGGGACCTATATGACACAACACTACAAGTTTAAGGACCGCCAATGCACTTTACTATTTATAATTTTCATGTTATTGACTTAAAAATAAGAAATGGAGACCATTGGTGTGTTATTGGCTTACCAGGTTAGCGAATTTCATTCATATTTGTCCTTGGAGTCACACTTAGGCTGCTTTGTTCTCTCGTTTAGCGCACACAAAATGAGAAATTTTATTAGCACATGATTAATTAACTATTAATTATTATAAACATGAAAAATGAATTTATTTGATTTTTTAACTTCTATATGGATTTTTTTATTTTTATTTATATTTTTTGCAAAAAACACATTAGTATTTAACAGCTTGAAAAGCGTGCTAACAAAAAACGAGAAAGTTGAAGTTTTGAGTTGAAGAAAAGAACTAGGCCTTAAAATCATAGGCTTGTCAAATATTGATACTTATCAAATTTGCCTGTCCTTTGTTTCCTACCTTTTAATATACCACTTATGTTTTAGAATACAGTTAAGCTAGCAGAGAAATGATGTGTAGCATGCTTTCTTTATGTGCTTGCTAGATGGATAACAACAGTATTCTGCTTCTAAACTTGATTTTTGTAGGCATTATTATCAATGATGTAGGAATGTTGAGTTTCTTTCAGCTTGAGTTTTGTTTTATTAGTTCAGGATGATTCTTACCTGATGAAATTTCCAGGGAAAGTCTTCCTCACCCTGGAAGCAAACTGTTTTAAAAGATTTATTGTGTCACATGATATGAATCTTAAGAATTTATTTATCTTGGGGCAGTCACATTTCTGCTGATACTGGGTAGGGACTACCTACGACATGTCACAGTTTCGCCCTTCACAACATGGTAGTGATAGTGATGCCCAGATGTGGCAACGACAGATGTTGTATAAGCAGCTACAAGAGTTCCAGAGGCAGCAACAGCAGCAGCAGCTTGATCATGGAGGTAGAATGCAGAACTCTTTTGGGCAGTTCCAAGCCCCTGCAAAACAATCCCTAGCTGATCAGTTTCCAACCATGATGAATGAAATGCCTATGAATGAGCCATCAAGTTATGCATGGTCAAATGGTATTTCTCTTGGTGGCTCCAGGTTAGGAAGCAACTCTCAGATTTTAAATAATGGTAACCCACATTGGGAGCAACATCATGGTGCTTCTCTTGGCACAAGCAGCTTTGCAAATGGTGCAGTGTACTCAAACATCCAGAATCTCATGAGGCCAATGGGATCAGTTAATAATAAAGTAAACCAATCTTCTCATTCCCTTCCTGCTAGCATGAGCAAAGGTTCTGGGAATCAGTACTCCCAGTTCCCAGGATTTCCTGCTAATTCCCACAATGCAATGGCAAGAGCTGGTTCAGACCAGTCAGATATGACAGCAAGGTTTGCAAGCTCAATTAATTCGTTCCAGAATGAACATGGTCTTTGTGAACAAGTTACATCCAATAATTTGCAGAATTTTTGTGAAAATGGAAGTGTATTAAGTGATTCTTCGACTCAAAGTCAAGGCGGTAACTTGAAGACAGGCAGTCCTGTTCTAGTTAATCACTTACAACATGGTTTTCATGTTCAACATTTTAATGGCTGGATGAACCAAGTTGAATGTCAGTCAGCGCCGCACGTCGGACCAGCTAGCAGTGCTGCTAGCCTTGATCCCACAGAGGAGAAAATTTTGTATGGAGATGATAACAATTTTACTGGTTTATTGGGAGAGGATGATTCATCAGATGGAGTTCCTGGTCATGATAACTCTTCAGGCAATGGCAACTCAAGCATCCCTGTGTCAGCTCAAGGGGGTAGCTGGAGTGCTCTTATGCAGGAAGCATTACAGTCGACAAGCAGTAAAAATGGCCTCCAGGAAGAGTGGAGTAGCGTGAATTTCCAGAATAGAGACCAGGCATTTACAAATAAAATGACTTCTCCTGATCTGGAACAGAGGCAGCATGCAACTTTAAATAGCATGAACCTACATAGTGCACCTCCAAGTGCACAACCTTCTCCCTCACATGATGGTTCTTCAGGAACCATGAATAATCTGAAGTTCACCAGTTTTCAGCGTGCAACGAAATCCGTGTATGACCATCAGGAAAAATTTTCTTATGGATCTACCTCCGCCGCTATCAATAATCACACAACTACAGGAGCTAATGATGGGCTTTTTCAACCGAGTTTAAAGCAAAGCCATTCTGGTGACTGTGGATCACCAGAACATGTCAACTTATCAATTGGTGTTTGGGCACAACAGAAACCTATGCTGCTGAAACGAAATTTGAACTCAGGTGGTGAACGTTTTATGCCACAGAACGCACAAGGACTTGGGGTATTGCAACAAAGCAGTTATAACCATAATTTTAACGGGGAGTCTAGTAATAACCAAAGCAACTGGAATGGCCGAAATTCCAATTGCGTCAATACATATTCAATTAATAATTTTCAGCAGTCAAACCCTGATGTGAACACTGTTCGAGTGCCAAATGATGGTTATAGCAGTAAAAATACTGTCCTGACGAGTTCAAGCACAGGAATGTTTAGCCCAGGCCAACATCAAATGATGCTTGGTCAGAGCGGGGGAAATTTTGGAAGCAACAATGCTCCAGGGCAAAGGCCACTTCCAGAGACTTCATGTTCACAAGGAAATAATGCAGAGTATGGACTTGCTGGCTTCAGCCAGATGTATACTAATGCAATTTCTGCTGAAGGACATAATTCAAATAATGGTCAGCATTTAGGCATCTCTTTTTCTGCAAGAGGTAATTCCTTTAGTGGAATGGATGCCCATAATTTGGGCCAATCTGACCAGAAAACGATGGGTCCATCTGCACTGCTGAATCATCTTAGTGCAACATCTGGAATTAGTACTGGACATTTTCCAACGAATTCTTTGTGCAATAATAAGTTATTGTCAGAGTCAATTCAGCCACCAAATAACCAAGAGAACCTGCTGGGTGGGAGCTGCCAACTTGCTGGTCATGTTGGGTCAACAAATGAGGTATGCGAGTAGAGTGCATCTTTATTCTTGGTTAATGAAGATACATCTGTTTCTTTTACATTAGATGTTTAGCTGAGTTCATTTTCTGCATTCTCATTTCACTTTTTTTCTTTGTAGAAAATTGCAATGGTAGAGGAACAACTTACTCAACATTCTACTGCCAGCAAATACTCGAATGAACCTCCCTTCAGAGGATATGATGGAACGTTGTTGCAAAACCCAAATAAAATAGTTCAAACAAGGTAGTTCTTCACTTCATATGATCTCGATCATCTACTATCTGATTTGAAGGTTACATTTATTCTTCGAACGTTTGTGATGCAATTATGTTGTTTATTTGTTGAATCAAATGCTGATATCTCCCATAAGAGTACCTTGTATGTTTTGACCAGATAGATGGGATCTCTCATGTATAGTAGTTTCCTTCACCTTATTTCATGAAAACTAGTAATGTGATGATGAGATGATGTTCACTTGGGAGTTACTCAATTCAATACTACCTCTGTCCCAAAATATAAGAAGTTTTGTGGTTGGACACAAGTACTAAGAAAGTAGGTGAAATTCAATGGAAGAAGATTGTGATTGGTGAGAAGAGGAAGGAGGTGGAGAAATTAAAAGGTGGAAGCTTGTGATTGGTTGATAACAGAATGTAGATGGAGGTATTTTTTTGGGACAAAATTTGAATACTAGAAGTTGTTATATTTTGGGATAGAGGGAGTAGTTATTTGGCTTTTTATTGGTCCCAGTATAACAGGAGTAACACAAGGACTCAAGCCTCTTAACCCTTTTACGGTTTTACCACTGTCTTACTAAACATTTCAATCAATTGATGTCTTTAGATTATTAAGAATGTTTCTAATGCAGAATTGATGGTGTATTAAGCTAGATATATGTTGGCTTTCTGAATTTTGTTTTGTAAGTCTTGTGCAGTCAACATATGCTTCAACAATTTCTTCAGAAGGTGGACAGCACAAATTCTGTTGTTTCTAGCAATATGCCCATCAGATCTGATATTACTCCTAATCAACTTAACCAGCCCCCTTTACAAGGATTTGGATTAAAATTGGCACCACCAATGCAACAACAACTAACTTCAGGTAATTTATGGACCAGTCACACCTCTGTTGACATCAAGCCAGCTGATAATTCAGTACCAGGGGAAGACCAGCGACAGCTACCTTCCACTCCTGGTTCGACGACTTCATCTGGCTACCCGAGTCGATCCTCACCATTTTACTCATCAGATGCTGATAATACTGGACTGTCAAGTGGGTGCCTCCCCCAAACTAAAAGCTTAGGCCAGCAATACCCAGTTGCAGAGCCAAAGTCTGCTCCTGTAAATTCTCTTCCTCAGCAGTCTCTGCAAGGTACTGCAGCAACAATGCTCAAGAATGTGTGGACAAACATCTCAGCACAGCGCCTGGGGGGTATCCAACATAACAAGATAACTCCAAATATTCTCCAGTCAATGATGTTCCCAAGTACTATTGGTGATTCCACATTACGGGGTTGTCCGAAAGATGATTATCAAAGAATGAGGGTAGCAAATCTATCTGATGATGCCACAACTACTACCAACTCAGGAAGGCAAGAAATAAAGCGAGTTGTGGAAAATGATGGATCTGACATACCAAATATGGATCAAATGGGAGATATTTTATTAGGAAAGAAAAATGCCCTTCAGAGACCCTTGATGCAGCATGGCATCATAAACTCGTCACAAGGGGAAAATATGGCAGCAAACATTCCAAATATGGGTTCTTCCTTTAACAAAGTTTCCACCTATGGTGGCATCAGTCTGCATGGAAGCCTGGCACCATCCAATTCCCAGCAGATAAATTATTCTCTACTGCATCAGATTCAGGCCATTAAGCCTGTTGATTCTGATCCAGAAAATACGTCTGGAAAGAGGCTTAAAACAACTGATATGAGTTGTAATGCTTCACAAGTTGAATGGCCCGGTGCCGAAAGAGCTCCACATGGAGAAAATAATCCATTGAGATTATGTACAGATAAAACTGAGGTCCCAAGAATCTCAAACTTGTTGCCATCAGATCAGATGTTAAGGTTTGCTCCCAGGAACAGTGAAGATGTAACCTCAACCATGCCATCGCAGGTTCAGTTGAGGGAGTTAACCTCCACCTCCAATGATATGGCCACTGCAAGAACTGATCTTCAAAATCAATGCTCATCTCTTGGCACAAGCTCAACAGAAAATTTAATTGAAAGTGGTGACAAATTAATGATCAACCCTCAGATATCACCCTGGTTTCAACATGGTAGCAACAGAAATGGTCATAATCTTGCTATGTACAGTGTCAGGAAAACTGCATCACCGTATAATCATCCAAAAGTTCCCTGGAGCATGGACACTAGCAGTGTTTCTGGGCATGGACTTGAATGCTCTACTTCTGTCAGACCTGAAATGCCTTCTGGTCTAAAGGTATCTTCTTCGGTGCGAAGACCGAAGAAGCGGAAATTTAAAGCTCCTGTGCTTGTTTCTTGGAATCAAATCATTGATGGCCACCAAAAGTTGGCGGACATGAGGTGTGTTTTCCGCTCCACAACTGTTACCAGGCTTTGGTTCTTATTCTCCTAGTTGTAATTTGCACTGATTATTACTTTGTTCAGTCTCAATATTCATTGAAATGTAACACTTTTTCAAAACTTACAGCACTCTGGGTATGGACTGGCCTGAAGCAACTAATAGATTAATCGAGGTCTGTATGAGATAACTATTCTTTTATTGTTTCACCGGTGTTATCCAATGAACATTATGCGTCATAACAAAATATGCATTTGTTATAGGTGGAAGATGAAGCTGACATTCAAGAAGATGCTCTCATATTATATTTACCACGTAAAAGGCTAATTATGACCTCTCGGTTGATTCAGCAACTTCTCCCTTCTATACCAGCGGCTATTCTTAGGGCACAAGCTATATCAATGTACCAAAGTGTAACATATACTATTGCTAAGTTGACAGTTGGGGATGCATGCAGCATGCCTTCAAATTCATCTTTGGACACTGGCACTCTCATAAGTAGTGGGGATAAGTAAGTTCCTATTAACTGAATAATTTTGCAATTACAAGTCATGTAGTAAGTTGGCCTTTTGCAAGTAACATCATTTCCCTAAGATATTTACTATTCATAAACAGGTCATATGAACAAATTGAGAATGACAAAATGAGAGACAGATTCACAAAGGCCGTTGAATTTTTTATTCCAAGATTTAAAAAGATGGAGAATGATTTTGTGAGGTGCGTGCAACTATTTTCTCTTGATTCTTAATTGTGAAATATATATGTTTCCCCTGCACTGCATTTGATGTTGTCCAAATTTGATTGGAATAAGACAGAAAATCTGGTTGGGAAAGAAGAGGTGTATGGTATTGAAGAGAGTTGGACGGGGTAGATATGTACTAGTAGAATAGACATACAGAGTTTCCTCTTTGCTTGCCTTAGAAAGAGACCTGCATCCCTCTTTTCTGAAGGACCCCCTGAAGTAATTAACTAGCTTGATTGTTTACTGAACGCACTTCTCACTAATTTGATTTTCAAGTTCACTGCAGAGGTGCTAGTGCCACCTTTTGTATTGCAACAATTGATTTTTAATTTTATATATTTCAGACATACTTTATTTATGTCTTATCTGTTTGTATCAATTCCTCTATAAAGGATTTTTGTATATTTAAACTTGACAGTAGTGCTTTTTTGTTTCTTTTTAACATTCCAATATGCACCTTCTTATTTTTTTATTCATTGCATAATTTTTCTTGCTAGTGGCCTTGATGAGATTCCGTAGATAATTTACTTGTTGTGAACACAGTCTTATAGTTCTCTTACAGAGTCTGATTTTTGTCTATCAGATACCTTCAATACTGTGGAGTTATCCTGACTTGGTAGAAAACCTGAATTCAATAATTAACTTAGTTAAAATAAAAAAGGCATACATTATTGATAGAAAAGATAATTGAACACGCACCAGATCTCTTGCTGTGCTACTTGTTTTTCATCCTGCCCATTTTGGCAGGTGCTTACATATGATTCCTGTTAAATTCACATAGTTAAAAAAAATTTCTCAACCAAAATTTCATCCTGTTGATTCCAGTAATTGTAAGTTCAGATATACCTATGTCGGAGAACACTCTTACTCTTACGATCTGGGAGGATGATATGAAAGTTATTTCAGGCGATATGATTAATATCTTGGTTTATTCTTCAAAAGTAATGAAAATACATATAGTTGGCAGGATGGAGTGGAATATTGGGTTTGAACAACCAAATAAATGCTGTTATATGATAAAGCATGCTGTACTTTAGAATTTATCTACAGGTATATTTATAATTTAATTACGTAAAGTTGTGATGTGAAAATCAATTCATTATTTTGGTTAGTTTTTCTTCTGGAGGGAGGCACCGCGTGGGGGTGGGGGGGGGGTGCTTCGTTATTGCTGACACATGCTATCCCTCTTGTCATAATTATTTAACATGTCCTCCAAGCCATCGCTAATGAGGGCGCTCTTTGGTGCCTAGCAGGAGCAACTAGGCTTGTGCTGCTGATGCACTAGTTTGTTTCACTTCCTTTGGGTGTGTGGTGTTCTGTTGTATCCTTGGTGGGCGGCTGTCGGAGTCTTTCGCTAACGCCGTCCACGTTTTCTTCTCTTTCTTAATGAAATGATATGCATATCTCCTATATGTTCTAAAAAATAAGAACAAGTTGGTCAGACTTTTGAAACATTGAATCATTGGTTTAGGGCATTCACAATGCAATGACTAGGATAGTGTCCATAAAATTAAATGAGTTGCTACATAGGATAAAATATGATGTGGCAAGTGAGTAAATGAAGAAAGAGAAGGAAGCCATGTCTTGCATAAGACATGGTTTCTATACAACATCCATGAAGACAAGTAGCATTAAATTTGAATATTAATTAGTAGTGTTTGCATTGGAAAATTAGTGTCTAGTACTAGTTTCTTCATGATGTGGAGGATATGGAAATCATGGTTAGTTTCTTGCATTGTGATTGCCCTTATATGCGATAAGTTTATAAAATTTAATAAAATTATGATGGTACTTTTCAAGGCAAATCTATACACAACACTTTTTTGTTTGGGGGCAATTGCTTATTTGACCCTGTTTTGAAGTCTAACTACCGATTTGACCCTATTTTTTCAAGTTTGCTTATTTGACCCCGGTTTTCAAAATTGAAGTTCAAGGCTGACCCTATTCCGTGAAGGCAACATAGGCTGTGTTTGGAGGTGGGTGTTGGGAACCCATCTGCCATGCACGGAAAACGGAGCGGTCCATTAGCGCGTGATTAATTAAGTATTAGGTACTTTTTTTTCAAAAATGATCAATATGATTTTTTGAAAACAACTTTTGTATATAAACTTTTTGCAAAGAACGCACCGTTTAGCAGTTTGAAAAGCGTGCGCGCGGAAAACGAGAGAGGAGTGTTGGGAACTTGCTCTTGCAAACACACCCATAATGGTGTTAACTAAGAGACAAATTGTCCTTTTTACCCTTGCTCATTTCACCACGTTGTGCAAAAGATTATTTTTTATTCAAATCTTTTTGATATTTTTGTAGCGAATTAAGCATAGCTTGACTTGTTTGAGATAAGTTTGATATATTTGGCTTTATTTTGATAAATTTGTTTTTCAATTTGACAGAAATTTAACAAAATTAAACAGATTTCTTTTGCAAAATTCTAGCATCATGTTGTCTCATTTTTGTCCATCCAAAATTAGAGTGAAGAAAAACACATATAGAAGTAAAGAAAGGAGATGCTCGGCCGGCAAAATCCATTTTCGCTGCCCAGCTGGCCCTTGCTTGCCCTCCGCCCACAACCGCCTCGATGACGCAAAGCCGAGACGGTACCGCTGTCGCCGCTCTCACGGCACAGCGCCACCGACCTACTCCCTTGACCCACCGTCGTCGCCGATCTCACCGCACGCTGCCACCCTTGCTCCCTCGGCGCACTGCAGCCACTGATCTTCCGCCCACCATCGATCACACCGGGCACCGCCACCGCGCCGCGGCTCCCTCCCCTCGGCGCATCGGCGCTGCCGCTCCTCCCCCCGCCCCCGCGAGCTAGTGCCGCTGCGCCTCCGCTTCCTCCCCTCAGCGCACCGGCACGGCCGCTTCCTCTCCCGGTGAGCCAACGCCACCGCCACAGCCGCGCATAGGCACTGCCGCGCCTCAGCTCCTTCCCCTCAGCGCACTGGTGCCGCCGCTCCCGCCCCCTGGAAGCCGCCAGCGCTGCGTGCCGGCGCTGCGGCGCCTCCGCTCCATCCCCTCAGCGCGTCGGCGCCGCCGATCCTCCGTGCACGAGCCGGCACCGAGAGAGACAGGCAAGATACGATTTAGACCGGATCTAAATGAATGGATATGGAGGGTTAGATGTGGATAGGGTTTCTTTGAGGGTATTTTTTTTCCCTTCTTTTAAGTGAAACTTTAATGGTGCAGCGGAAACAGGGTCAGACGGGGTGTTCGTTTTTTAAAAGCAAGGTCAAATAAACAAACTAGAAAAAATAGGATCAAATTGGTATATAGGCTTGGAAATGGGGTCAAATAAGCAATTGCCCCTTTTTGTTTTTATAGACTAAGCATTCAAGGAGTTGGTGATGATCAAAGCTTCAAAAGATTGACCGAATCTTATGCTCAACATCAAAATTTTACAACCAAAGGGAGTACCTTTTGTACTAAGAGAAAGCAATTGGCATTTACTACCACATTGTGGAGTCTTTGCGATGTTAAAGCCTGATATTATATTAAGCTTATATGCCAAAATGGTTTCTCAATTTGTTACAGGAATGACATTACTATGGTTTCTCAAAATGCTTACTAGTTAGTTGCCTGCGCATATTTAAAATGCATTTATGCTATAACAATATTTGTCCAATCTGCTCATTATTATTAGGTTCCTTCCATGAAGATATATACCTTTTATGGGGTTTCTACTAAGCGAATTTATAACCCACACATTTATTTTGGATGAGCACAAGATCATTTGGTCCAGTAGCATGTTAATATCTGTTTGTCACTTTGCAGCTTAAACAAAAGGTCTTCAATGCTAGATATACAGTTGGAGTGCCAAGATTTAGAGAGAATTTCTATTGTGAACCGGCTGGGAAGGTTCCATGCCAGGAATTATCATGCAGCTGGAGTGGAGGCCTCATCAACTGATCTTGCCCCTCGCAGAATATATCGTGATAGACATGTCATGACATTTGCAGTACCTGTAAATCTTCCTGATGGGGTGCCTTGTTTGTTGCTCTAGGTCTAAGATATTAAATTATTCGTTGGTTTGGATTGCACCCTGTAATTTTCGAAATGTGAAGATGAAATCCAAGGAGGTTGGTTGCAAAACTCCAATCAACACAAGTTGAAGAATCTGAGGGATGCCAGCTGTGCCAGCCGATCAACTCAGTGCTGGGTGTTATTGCTTCTCCCTTAATAGTATAGGTCCCTGTATATTGTGAAAGTAAAAAAGCATTGGATCTCATCTCGTATCATTTTCTGATCGAGAATAGTGCTAGCTTCATCCAGTTATTTTGTTAATTTGGCGAACTTCAATCGCTATTTATTGTAATGAAATGCTAGGTTGTTCTCTGGGGAAGGTGGTGTTTACATGATTACATCTTTGAAGGTTTCATTTTTATGCATTCTAGTTCATCTGAACTCTCGGATAAATCACTGATGTACTTTGTGAAAGTATTCCTGGAACAGGTATGGAGCTGAATGAGGGCTTTGGCAACACTCTGCTCGAGACTTGCTGATGGGTATACCCTTTCCCTTATGTAAAACTGTTTGTTCAAATATATGATGCAAGATTTTTTTTTCTTTTCCTGTGTTTACATTATTATCGTCTGTTTATTCAGGTTCTGCTTCATCCGTAGTCATGGGCACGAAGTTGATGGAAAGCATTTGAAGCATTCTGATGATTCTGTTGTTTTGTTTGGTTGGACTAGTTAAAGCATGTTAGCCCTGGAGCTATTTTAAATTACATCGACTGTACATAAACTTACCGGTGAATGCAGTACACACTTATAAAATGTTCATTATTGTGAATCAAGTCCAAAACGATATATTATGACTAATTAAATTGTTGAATGTGCAAATAACATTCATATATATTTTTCATATGCACTTTGTATTTATTTAATTCTTAATTATATTGTATTGGTTGCATAGTTCTTGGTTTTGGTTTTAACGCACCAAACAAATGTGTACTAAAACAAGCCATGTACTTAGTTGTTTTGAATCTTTTTCTAGTTAATCTTTTTTAGTTTGATCTAAATATAGCAATATTTTCAACCAAAACAAACATATCATTAAAATATATTCAATGCTATATTTAGTAAAACTAATTTGATAAAAGTTGGATAAATTAATTTGTTTGTAATTTACATGGAATTTAAAATTTGAAACTACTATAATTTGACATATAAAACATCAAATCTTATCGTGTATCTGATTTTTGAGCTAAAATGCAACCTTTTATACGGGCAGTGCAATTTACTCTTCACTCTTTAAATGCATATTATTGATGAGGTAGAACTATCATATCTGAGTAATCATATCTGAGTAATAACATTGGTGGCACCTTTAGACATATTGGCGTTTATTGTTTTCCTATGGTTTTTCTTTTGAAAATGCTTAGAGACGGACGTTATGGGCGATTTAAAAAATCGGGCATCTTTGTCATTATCCAAAACTTCCAGGCTCAACGCATATGTTCTCTCCTTACCCAAAATTCACACCTTACCTCCACCACATATTCTCCCCTTTTACTTTTCTTCTCTTTTGCTTTCTCTCTCTCCTCTAAGAGCTCAACGCTGCCATCACCGTTGCCCGTCGCGTTGCCCTGTTGCGTGCTATCGCTAGCATCGTCACCGAGGCATCACTTCTCCTCTTGTGGATGCTCCTTGGCCGAGCACGGAGAGGGAGCAGCAGCCCGAGTTGGATGCCACGTGCATCGCCATCGATGTGCTCTCGTGTTACTTCTAGTGAAAATGAAGTTGAACATCTGCTGCTCCTCGCACTGACGAAGCTAGAAGCCAAGTCACATATGATAAACCCTGAGTTCTACTTAAACACCCAATAGGGCTGTAAAGATTCAAACTTCGTCTCCTCATCCTCGGCATCCCACAACCATTAGTACACCGCACTCCCATGTGATAATAATTTACTTAGCCAGAGGCATCCCATAAACACCCGTGTGGTCGCACTGTAACGTGTTTGGATGGATTTCCTAAAGGAAACGGTCCTTAACGATAATACGTGGCCAGACCACAAAGGTATGACTCACATCAATCACTATTTTACAACACATTTTATTTCACGACATGTCGGTACAACCTACTGGATTTTTAAGCATGTATTTGGAACAACCCAAGTTTTCCACACAGCAAAACAACGTAAGCATGGCAAAGAAAACTACCTCCGTAGTCGTATAACGATACCGGGCAAACATTTGTGGACCTTTCAAAGGTAAGGAAACAACAACCTATGTAAAGCAAGTGCAACTAATCGGTCGGTCCCTCGGTTGCATAAACAATCCGAGGCCTAAACATGTTTATCGTGTATACTAAGGGAGTGTTTGAGGAGAAGGGGATTGAGGAGATTGGGAAGATACGTAAAACGAGGTGAGCCATTCGTTCATGATTAATTGAGTATTAACTATTTTAAATTTTAAAAATGGATTAATATGATTTTTTAAAGCAACTTTCCTATAGAAATTTTTTGCAAAAAACGCACCGTTTAGTAGTTTGAAAAGTGTGCGCGCGGAAAACGAGAGCCAATCTCCCCTATCACCCCTAAACGAACGATGCCTAAGCAATGCACTTTTTAAACAAACATATCTTGCAAATATAGGGGCAATGTGATCAAAGACGCTTGCCTTGCACAGGGTGCGGGTCTTCTCCCTCGAAAGAGGCGTCCGAAGCTTCCTCGTACTCGGGTTCTATACGCGAAAAAAAAATTTAATTAACAAAAGGCAATAAAACAAACTCAAATAAAAGAAACAATGGTGCCCATGTGTAGATCTTAATTTTAGAAAAGTTTAGGAACTTTCAAAGGTTAAATGGATTTTTTATTTGAGTTACGGTTGATTTTCTATGAACTTTCAAAGGTTAAATGGATTTTTTTGGAATATTTGGAAATCAACTCATTAATGGAACCGCTAATGCAGACGGCCCAAGGGGGCCCACCTGTCAGCGATGGACGGACGGAAAAGGACGTGGGGCCGGGCTATCAGCGGCTCGGCTCCGTCTTCTTCCTCCTCGCTCTGTTTGGCTCGGGGCGACGACATGCCGTGGCAGCAGGGCGCGACGAGGCGACCGGCGGCCGAGGGAAGACAGCGGCCGAGACACTGGAAGGCGGAGTGTGGTGGCCTGAGGCGGTGGCACAGAGAGAAGAATGAGAGAAAGAGAGAGAGATGGTGTTGGTGTGGGGAAATTGGGAGAGCTCGGGCTCCTTTTATAGGCCGGATGCGGCGAGCTGGCGGCTAGGCACCGGAGAACTGGGGGTAGCCAGCTAGTAGCTCGGTTGGGTTCACGGAAGGAGGGGATGGCGCTGCGGTGGCGACGCGATGGCGACAGAGACACATAGAGAACGGGAGCAGCGAAGGGACATGGGTGACGTGAGGCCGACGGCGGCTACGGCCGGAATTCGAGCGGTAGGGTCTCAGAGCGAGGCGACGGGAGCGGCGTTATGCGGCGGTGGCGACAAGACGTGACAGAGAGAGGGCGAGTTCTGCAGGTAACTCTAACCGATAGGCAACTTCTCCATGGTGTGAAGAAATAGGATAGGGTCCGATGAAACGTGGTGCCAACTTTCCTGCTATTCCAAATCTTTTCATTCCACGTAGGGGTGACACTCTTAGATACACATGATCTCCAACTTTAAACTCCAAGTCTCTTCGACGATTGTCTGCATAATTTTTCTGTCTAGACTGGGCTGCTCTCAAACGTTCCCTGATTACTTTCACTGGTTCTTCTGCTTCCTTCAGAATATCTGGTCCAAAAATTGTCTTTTCTCCGATGTCCATCTAACAGAGCGGCGTTCGACACTTACGCCCATACAAGGCTTTGTTGGGGGCCATCTGTATGCTTGCTTGATGGTTGTTGTTATTGGAGAACTCTGCATAGGGTAGGCATAAATCCAAAGTGCCAGCAAAATCTAATGCACAAGCTCTCAACATAACTTCTAGAACCTGATTCACTCTTTCTGTCTGTCCATCAGTCTGAGGGTGGTAAGCTATACTGAAGTTGAGATTGGTGCCTATGGCTCATGTAACTTCTTCTAGATATGGGAGCTAAACTGTGTACCTCTATCTAACACAATCTTCTGGGGACACCATGTCGGCACATCACTCTTGTCATATATAACTCTGCTAATTTCTTGCCAGAATATGTAGTCATCACAGGGATAAAGTGGGCAACCTTAGTTAGTCGATCCACTATTACCCAAATGGAAGTGTAACACGAAGATGTCTTTGGAAATCCTGTTCTGAAGTCCATTCCTATTTCTTTCAACTTCCATTGCAGAATTTTTAACGGTTGTAATAACCCTGCTGGCTTTTGATGTTTAGCTTTTACTCTTTGGAATATATCACAAAGGGCAACATATTCAGCAATATCTTGCTTCATTCCGGACCACCGAAAATGACTCTTGATATCCTGGTACATATTGGTACTTCCTGGATGGATAGAATAAGCAGACTCATGAGCTTCTTGAAGTATCAAATTTCTTATCTCCTTTTTAGTGGGCATGCAAATACGCTTTCCAAACCAAACAATTCCTTTGTCATCCACAGAGTATTCTGAGGCTTTGTCTTTCTTTATCAATTCCCTGATATTCATAATTTCTAGATCGCCTTCTTGGGCTTCACGGGTTTGATCCTCTAGAGTCGGTTGAACCACTGGGGTTGCTAAAGTTCCTAGCTTAACCATGTTTATTCTTAGCCTTTCTAATTCTTTACACAACTCTGGATGATGGGGCGAGGTCAAAAGAACATTACAGTGCACCTTCCAACTTAGTGCATCAGCAACAACATTTGCTTTTCTGGGATGATAATGTATTCCGACATCATAATCCTTGATTAATTCAAGCCATCTTTTTTATCTGAGGTTGAGCTCCGTTTGAGTAAAGATATATTTCAGACTCTTATGATCAGTCTACACTTCGCTTCTGTTACCAAACACTTCGCTTCTGTTACCAATTAAGTAGTGTCTCTGTATCATGAGGACATGAACAACTGCATCTAATTCAAGATCATGGGTAGGGTAGTTCATTTCATGCAGCCTTAATTGTCGTGAGGCATATGCAAGAGCTTGGTAAAAAGCTTGAGTGTGTGTGAAATTTGAACCTACACTACCTAGTAGTTAATAGGAACAAACATATTTTTGTGTATGTTTCTTGTTTCCTACTAATAATGATAGGGATATGCAAGACAATTGAGGATAACTGTGCTCAACATCGACATCTTCATCGAGACATGAGGAGTGATCAACATGACCATTATGAGGAAAGTGCCATTGTTCTAGCTAAGATCAAATCTGCACTGCCTTATTTTGAAGGAAATTATGATCCTCATGCTTACATTGATTGGGAGTTAGCGGTTGATAGAGAATTTCAAAAGCATGGCTTGTCTGGGAAATAAACGGTATTTTTGTAGGCATAACAAAATATCACAATCTTGGAAAGACCTGAAACGACATTTGAGAGATGTTTATATTCCCATGTATTATGCTGACATTCTGTTCAACAAACTACAATGTTTAAAACAAGATACCAAAAGTGTTATTTCATACTATCATGATATGCATGCTTGTTTACTACGTTATGGCTTACATGAATACGAAGAAGCTACAAAATTGAGGTTTTACGTGGGCTTAACAAAGAAATTCAGGTCATGTTTGCTTGTCAATGATATAAATCTCTTTCTCATTTGTTACAACTTGCTTGTAGTGCTGAAAGTAAAATAGAGGAGGACATGAAAAAAAACATGCTATGTTTTTACCTACTATTACTAACCAATTGTAGGAAGTGCATAATCATGAAAAGAAGGAGAGAGACATGAAAGAGCCGTTATTCTGATTGTTAACACTCAAAATTGATGCACCTCCATCATCAGAAGA